TAAGAAATTTTAAGGTAATTAATCATCAATAATTCTATCATTAATTACAAATAAAAGAATATCAACACAATACTTAGGATTTTAAGCTATTATTGCAATTCATTTGGCCTAAAAATTAGTTGCGAAAAGGGAATACCCTAAAACTTCCGAAATTCCGTTGGAAACCTTCAATTTGACGCGACACAAAAATGTCATGATACTTGCCTGTCGGGTGCAAGCTCTACCTTCAAGGTCATCAGACAACGCTTTTATCAAAATATGAGATTAACGTATGTATGGACATAAAAAATGCGCTCTGTACATGTATAGACCATAAGGTTATTTGGTGGTAGAAATGGAGCACTTTAAAAGAATAGAGTTTATGTAGTGTTATCTTAAGGTTAACAGTCAAGAAGTTATGCAAAGATAATAAAAGAAAATGGATAAAATTCTGAAGAACCAGTTCCTGGTAGCGCTTACTCGTCAAATACTGATGAGTCTTATGCTGATGATAATGATGATGATAATGATAATGATAATGATGATTATGATGATGACTGACATCAGTTTAATGATGATCAGGACTTAGAGAGTAACAATATGAGCGTAAAGAGAAAATCTTTCTTTATTGGGCCTACTGGTAAGCGACAAAAAGAAAAGCAAGAGGAAAAACATAGAAGCCACCACATATGGGATAGAAGATTTATGAAACAATTTAGCCAGTCTCGTATAGAACAATTTAAAGAAAGGTTAAACAATTACACGGGTAAAAACTACTCTTTTTAACGAAGCTTATGCATGGCGCTAGGGACAAGTTTCCATACCTGAGAAATAAATTAAGAAAGAATTATGCCGAGTTTTTTTATTGACAATAACGTATTGCAGGAGGACCCTAGTCAATAACAAATCCTCCAGACGGTAAAGACATTAACACGACATACGTATAAGAGAGTCTATTCAACAAATGATAAAACTAAGAAAAGACTTGAACTTTCCTTAATAATATCTCCCTTTCCCATTGTTATAATACCCATTTACAAATCTGACTAACACTACACCTTTGTCCTGTCGTTTCTAATTCCGTATGTTATAGAACGCATATAATGATATTAATCATATTTCACACTACTTGACTACGTAGTATCTTCGTATATACAATGAAACAAAACAGACAATAAATTACCTAATGGCATTCAAACTTTAATAAAAAATAGCCACCATGCATGCGCAGCAAGTGGCGTCCCCTATATTACCGTTACATAAAACCTAAGTCATCTATTTGGATTCAATGAATAAATAAATCAATCAATGTATCAATCAATAAGAATTTATAATGCTGTCAAAAAAAATAAATGAACAAATTCATAAACGATTGAACAATTGAACGAAAGAATGAACACATAAATGAACAAGTGAACTAACGAATGACATATCAAACACCGTTTACATGTGATTTTAGATTTTTAGTTCATAAACAAAAAGGAAAACAAATAAATGTCAATAAATTAAAAACAAGACCTACCCTTTGCACCTTAGTTATAAGTTACTTATAACTATTTTAGAATGATAAGAACTATTCTTAGCATTCTATTTTAGAATGGCCAATGAGATTCCCTGATTTCATATTGTAATTTTATAATGACAACTGAAAACTTTTCTTATATTCAGTTCTTTCCTGTAAATTTTACAGGAAGTCAAACTGAAAAATAGTTGGACGTCGAGAAACCCTACTTGGGTTTTGTTAATTTACGAAGAAACCTTACAGTTAGTTAACAACCATTTTCGATGTTTTTTCTCTCTTTTTACTTACCCATTTGCACCTGATACTTTTGGATTTTCTTGAATCTGATTATTATAAGTGACATGAGGAAGTGTCCGTATTTTTTATGTTAAGCCTTAAATCGGTGTTCGAAGTCAACAATTGAGACATTTTTGAAGAATTGGGACTTTGTTGGACAATATAAGTTTTACCGGAGGTCTTTGACCAGAATTAATTTTTTCCTAGTTATAAAAATTACAATTCCTCAATGAATGATCATCTTTTTAAACTAATTTATTTTTTGCGCTTTATTCGCTCGCAAGCGGAAAATTTAGCGGACCATGGAGCATACGTCGTGAACTTGGAATCGATTTCTTTTAATATTAAAGTCTCTGTTACATTTGACTTAAACATTTAGAACTATTTCTGAATATATTTCTTTTGGCATATAACTGTGTGCGGCATGAACTCGAGACGTTCTTAGCACATTTTTTATTTCGACTGAAATCTAAAAAAGAAATGCATATGAACATTGAAAACATGATTTATATGATAGCGCTTCATCTGTACATTCAAATGTCTGATATTTTAACATCTATCAGGCTCGGCATGAAAAAAAGCCTTTCCTGATAAATTTTGAAATATCAGAAACAAGCATTGTATTCTGTATTTAGATAATAATGGAAAAAGATTCCTACTGATAAATGAAATGTTAAAATTTCACTTACGAAACATTACCGTATATACAGACTGGTCGGCTAAAATTATAACAGTACTCTTAAATAAATCATTTCAGGGGCGGTTAAGGCAGTAATAGCTTAATGCGATGAGTAATTTAAGTTACTCCCCTTAAATCTCAAAATTTGATGTCTAAGAAGGATAACGTTAAATATTAAATGATTACAATGCAAATATATAACTTACAATTTACTTTCACTGCATCTTCTTCAGTAGTGAATGCCATCTCTTCAGGGAGTGTTACGTCATCGTTTTTACTATATATTCTAATAGATGTAAAGCCACCATCTTGAAATGAAATCAGGGAAAAATCAGAATCAACAAGGCTTGACCTTATCGCTCACTTTTATCATAATCACATCAAATGTATTATTATCCGATATATCTGACCTTGTTTGAATATGTTTTCCTCTACAATATGATATAATAACAGACAGATATATATGATGTATTTTTATTCTCATTCCAGGTAATATTAATTTTATTATTCAGAGTATAAAACAGTTTAAACCGTATCGGGGCTCAAGCTTTAAAAAGTCACGTAAATAAATCAACTTCAAATTGAACCATACTCTTAAAATAGGTCATGTTTGTGCAAAACAGTCTAATCATGTATTGTCTGCTTTATGAACCATACCTGTCTATTACAGTCCGCGGTTATCTGTCGCGAGTACGTTATTTAAGCGTTTGCCGATGTGATTTTTTTTGCATACTAAACTCCAATTATAAATCTAAAAAAAAACTTTTGACAAATGATTATCTTCTTAATAAGAGAACGAGATCTTATTTTAACTGGATATGTGATCACATTTACATTCATTTACTTGAATGAATGAATAAGAATTGAATATCAATGGGACCTGGGTAACAAATGAGGCGAAAAAAGCTGTACAAAAAGGTTATCGAATCGAAACAATATATGAGGTGTGGCATTTTTAATCAAATTTCTAAGTATGATCCACATAGTGGGACTGGTGGTTTATTCACAGAACACGTAAATACTTCCTTGAAGCTAAAACAAGAGGCGTCTGGGTGGCCTGAATGGTGTGTCGCGGAAGAAGATAAGAAAAAATACAATAACCTTTATTACGCAAAAGAGGGTATACATTTAGAATATGATAAAATAAAAAAGAATCCGGGATTAGGGGCGTTAGCTAAGCTAATGCTGAAATCCTTCTGGTGTAAATTTGGGCAAAGGTCAAACATGCCACAGGTTGATCTGGTGGACGACCCGCCACGCCAGTTTACTTTGAAAAGCTGACATCTGACCGTGAAGAAGTGACTTGCGTTAAAAACAGAAGAATTTGTTGAAATGCGATGGAAAATGGAACAGGACTTTTTGGATTGTAACAGCAAAATCAATGTGGTCATTGCTGCATATACCACCGCGCAAGCAAGACTAAAGTTGTATTCATATCATGAATTGTAAGTTTCTAGAGCAATGTATGCTGATACAGACTCAATAATCTTCAACACCACACAAACCGAAGCCCCTTTTGGGTGACTTTTTAGGAGACTTGACAGATGAAGTTCCAAACAATAAAATATTGACGTTTGTGACAGGGGGGGGGGGGGCCTTTAACGTACGCCTACATATTACAAAATCCAGACATGGACGGAAACTGTACGACTTGCAAAATTAGAGGCATTACTCTTAACTGTAAAAATAGATTGAATGTAAATTTTGACGTTCTTACAAACATTGTAACAAAACGCCGAAATGCCAGGGCAACGGTGGTAGATGCCCACAAAATCTCAAGAGTAAGAGATACTGCACAAAAAAAGACTAAGTGCGAAAGAAAGGACTATAGGTTTGTCTTTGACAAGCGTGCTATTTCAGACAAAACGTATCTAACATACTCGTATGGATATTAGACTTCAGGTCTTCCTAAAGTACACCAGAAGTTATCAAATACTTATCATGATGCTGTACAGTTTACACTACAATCTTATATGTTTATTTAAGACAATGTACATTTTATCACAATAATTATATTGTTTTGATTGACTGTTATTTCAATGCTGTTTAAATGATATTTTATGTTGTACGTACTTTAAATTCTTTGCTACTTGAAATATGACAGTTTAAAACAATTATAGATTTAACATGAAATAAAGAATAGTTTCTTAAACCTATACTGTTTTTGTTGTCTGTGTTTTATTTTGAAGCCCATATCTCACATACGACTGCACTAGATATAATCCCTGCGCCGGTAACGATATTACAAATCACAACATTAAAACGCTAAACAGTTGATTATGCACTTTGAGGGACCGTGAGCGTAATCATGTGTTTATTTACATTCCTGTTCAATGGCCCACAACTTAAAGCAGAGGATTTTAATACAATGAATATCAACATGATAGTCGATAAGGTCACACCCGGTTGAGTCTGATTTTTCCCTCATTCCAAGATGGCGGCTTTACATAGAATATATAGTAAAAACGATAACGTAATACTCCCTGAAGAGATGGCCTTCACTACTTTCTTCATCGGTACTCTCCACCGTGAATTGTCTGTCAGTATGTGCTTTCAAATACATGATCAACTTTCGTTTCCCTTGACCTTTAAAACTTTGGTCACGCGCATAAGACCTGCTCTTTTTCTTGTCCCGGCTTTCTGGAAAAGCAGCGAGACTCATTATTATCTATATTATAACTCATACTCATAATTGTTACCCTCTTAAATTTATTAAACGCAACATGTAAACCATTTACAGTTTACTAACAGCTAGAAAGAGATCAATTTACAGTAGGCTAAATTTTGTGTGAAAATTACTGCGCGAATCATTTTAATGCAGATGTATCTTTAACATCGGAGTACAAATAAACGCATCACGGTAAAATAAGTGCAGTAATCTTTGATTCACCATGGCTTCAGCTTCAGGTAATATACTGTTTTAAATAATATTTGTCTTCATATTGTTTATTTACAAAACTATAATCTTTGATATGTTAATGTGAATTAATATTGCGCACTGATGTTGACATTATTACTATGAGAGTCAAAGTAGTTCAGTGAAATTAACTACTATGTAAACTGTCAAGAAATTATTAGATAAAAGTTGTTTTCTTTTTTCATATTTTATAATATAGATTAAACAATAGAGCATGCATGTCAATATGTTCAGTTTTGTTGACCTTTGCATGGAAGGTAAATGTAACTAGCATAGCGCCCTCTATACATTCATTAAACGATCAGTCTATATGATAACGTTGAAAAGTTTCCTGCTTATAGTCAAATTATATCATCATTACTCACAAATCAATAAAAGGAATATGAATAAAACGAACATAAACAACATTTGCACATGTTTTCAATCAATCAGATCGCTGCATTCGAAACTGATCGTATAAAATTCACGTTGCAACTGAGAACGACTACCAAACACAAAATACTAAGTCAATTTATAGCTACATAAATTTCCTTTTTATCAGATTCACCGGGCCTTGAAAATGCGTCTTTGTTGGACGAAATCGTTAGGCTGTTGAATATGGGCCGAGATGCCGAGGTGATCATGCTAATTGGGCAAAGCGGGGCTGGTAAAAGTGCGATGCTCAATACCATCCACAGAGTGTTAACTGGAGAAAATTTCACATTGGCAAAACAAGGAGCAGGTCATGTGCAGTCTGTGACCCTTGACCTTGGAAGGTTTGTGAAACATACCTATTAAAGATAATTGATTTTAAGATATTTATATTCAAAGAAGATAAATTTAAGTTTGATTAACATTAAATGACTTAATATTTGGGTAGACAAAACGGCGGTCGTGGCTGTGTAGTAATTGGCGTTGAGTTCAAACAACTTGCCCCTTACCCCTGTGGGTTCAAACCCCCGTTAAGATCTTTCGATCCTCTCATGGGTGTGTTAAAACATTTGCGGTGAACATTACATTTAATTAATCCTAATTATTAAGGTATGAGTCCTCTAATGTGCACTATAAGGAACTTTAAAATTGACAACATAGGTCACTTATATACCTAAAAAGACACAAAAATGCAAAATTTAAACAAAATTTACCCTGTGGCTTACGAGTTACAGAGATTCTTTCCGAATGGTTTACGAGTTATAGAGATATTTTGTAGAGATTTTTCTTAAGTAAAACTTGGCTATTAGAAGGGCTCTTTTTCAGCAATAAGAAACTCTAAATATTCTTTTTTATAATCACTATGACTAAATGTTTTCTATAGAACATATTTTAGAAACAAAAAAATAGCATTCAGGTAACAATTGACCAAGCAAAATTATTGTTTCTACTCAAAATGTTTAAAACGTGTATATAAATATTACCCTACCCCTCCCATTTTAAGTAGTTGTTCTAGCCCTTTTCTACTTAGAGGGCAAATAATGTTCAGAGATAAAAAAGAAAGAAAAAGAGTTGCTTCTTCTGGGGCTTGAACCTACGCCCCTCAGTTACAATACAGTTGACAGTAGTTCTAGCCTGAATACTCTTCAGAGTGGAGGTAATGCATTAGGTGGATCATACCTTAAAAGGCATTTAAAGTTTTAAATTGAAAATCTTTAATGTATATAGATATAATAACTGTGGTGTTGACCTAAAGACTATTCGAGATGAATCAAGGAGAGAAATGATTGCTGATGTTGTACACAAACTGCCACATATAGTTGATTGTGCTGGCATGGGAGATTGTGACACACTAGAAATACGTGAAATATTAGAACTTCTAATAGGAGGTACCTGTAGATTTATTTTCATGAAAAATATTTTTTGTCTACTTTGGCTCACAAAACGCCTAACAAAGATCTCTTATAACTGTTTTTTTTTTAAAATTTTCTTTGTTCTCATTAAACGACTTAACAAAATGTTGGTTTAACCATCTTTTTAGTATATATTAACGTATCAAAGGCATACAATAAACTCAGGGTCCATAAAGAGTACTCTATGCGCTCCTTCTGTACTTAAGGCGCTTCTATTGTACTCTACGCCTGGCAATTTAGCTGGACTCTAGACGTTTCTACTGTACTAAAGGGTGCTTATTCTGTACTTAATGCATTTCTACTTAACTCAGGCAGTTTCTACTAACTTTTTGAAACATAACAAGGGTTATTGCAACAGTCATGTCGGTGTTGCTTTTGTCGATCGCAAACTTGTACGTTGATCATAACTTTTTAAGCTCTCGGTTTATTGTCGTCATACTTTCATAATAATCCTTGGGAAAGACTTTTAAGAAGACAAGACATACTTGACTTCATTCACAAATGACATTGACTTTCAATGTGAAATGTCTAAGTGTTGCATGTTTTTTTAGCTTTGTTTTATTTTTGTTAATGTTTTAGTGTTGGTTTTGTTTGTTTGTTTTGTTCATTGGTTGCTCTTACTTTGTCATAAAATAGATTGTCTTCAAACCTGAACGTTATGATATTTTAGAATAGGCCTTCAAAGTAAATAAAAGACCTTAATCTTCACTCATAGTTATTGATTGTTTTTTGTTGTTACTGGCTATAACTTTGTTACTTTTGAATGGATTGACGTAATATTTGAAACCTTAACTCTCTCGAAGTGACGTTGGTTCTTATATGCAAATGACTTTGAATGTTAAATTATTGAATGTTCAATGATTTTTTCTATAATGGAATATAACTTGTTAATTAATAAATGAATCGTGTTCATGTTTTAACAAAGCAACATTCTTAGCAAGACCCTATAAAAGGTTTAACAAACATGGAATAACATTGTATGTCAAGGTCAAATTATTGAACTTTGGTTTGTCATATTTTTGTTATTTATTAACACAAAAACAAACATCAAGAATTGCTCCAAAAAACATATTGAATAAAGTATATGTGACCTTGACCTTAAATTGACTGACTGCCGAGGTCAAATTAATGAAATTCTCTTGTTTTTTCTATAACTGGCTAATACTTTGTTTATTGGATAACTTCATATTAAGACACCACATATTTACGTCAAAACAGTCTTGTATAACAAACTCAAATTTATCTTGACTCATGTATGACCTTGACATTGAAGGTTTATTTTTTTATATTACCAGATTATCTTTATAATTGATTGCAACTTGGTAATTAACCAATGGAATTTATTTCATACTTGGACAAAAAAAAACCTTCTTGGGACAAGAAATTTTAAAAAGTTCAACTGAACTTGACATTGAGTTTGAAATGAACCTAACAATGAATGTTAATATATTGAATTTATGTTATGTTGTAATCTATATACGGATTTGATTTATGTGTGGACAAAACAATACTTGCCACTAAACAGATATGTGGAATAATGTGGATATGACCTTGACCTTTGAAAGACCTTCTTCTCAAGACGTTTCTACGGTTTCCTCTGTACTGATCTCTAGGTGCTTCTATTGTGTTCTTGACGTTTAAACCTTACTCTAGGCACTTCTACTGTTTTCAAGGCAATTGTTTTGTACTCTAGGTGTTTTTTCTCTGTATTCTATGTATTTTTACTGTACTGTTGACGCTTTCTCTCTATCAGCGGCACAAGTCATGAATTTCTTGCACAAGTACCGTACTTATTACCCATCTATTGTACTCGTTTTTATACGGTATACCTGTGACACTCCGATGTTCTCTTAACGCAAAGTCTGGATGTAGGGTAGGGCCTATCTATTCAGTATACCATAGATGTATCAATTCTTCTAAAAACAAATTCGCGGTTCTTAAAGTATGTTCATACAAATGATACATGATTTATAATTAGGTTTTTACTGATGTAATTTTCACGACTATTTGATAGGTTTCATACCAAAAGATACAAACATTGAAGCGTTGCAGATCAAACAGGACGAATTCGGTGTGGGTTGTCTAAAGAAACTATTTCCAAAACCGGACCCTGCTAACAGGGTGACAAAGATTGTATTTATACAAAGCTGTGGAAACGCCATACCAAAAAACTTGATAAAATGTTTGAACGAAGTCCTCTCAATAACAGACCCTGCAACCTTGAAAAGAAAATGTGAGTTAACTTAACTGATACTATTTTTACTCCCACTGACTATCAAACATTAATTCACATTATACCAAGGCATTTTCGTAACCATTTTTGGAGAAGGTATTTTGCCAAGTTTTATGACATTTTGCGTCGTAAAATTGCTCTGATGGAAAAAATATTTGGAACCTTTTAAAACCTCTTTCATACACCTTTGACATAGATTTTTGAATTGTACAAACTCGATTATTCAAGCCAATGTAAAAATCATTCATAGCATAAATTAAAATTTGACAATGAAATGTTAGGAAACATCTGTGTGATACCATATTCGAAATAAATCCAGCAACTTTGTCAATTTTTATATCGAGAGTTTCAGTTTGATTGGGAATTTTTTAACGACTGATAAAAAATAAGCATGTTTGGCACTGGGAATGGAAAATCTGGAAATCTGACCAATGTAGACACTTGGGAAATGCATGGTGCAACAATAAAAAGATTTCATTGGTAATGACAGCAGTGCAATTTAAAAATACTGATTGAAAAAAGGGTGATATTGCTCGTACGTGCAATATGTTGATTAAAGATACTTATATAAATACTGTGTTCATAATCAATTTGTTGTAAATATTCTACTTTTCAACACATGGCTTACTATTTGATATAATCATATTTTTTATATGAAAACTTTTATTTTTTATTCAGAATTTTACTCCAACAATGTTATGAAGCTTATAATAGAAATTTAAATGCAAGCAATGTTATATTATTAATTCATAGAAACATTAAAATAATCACATGAAATATGATTTACTACAGACACTGCAGAAGTGTTTCTACTGATATCAAAGTTCGACTTAGTTCGTGACCCCTCTGTTCATTTTTCAACGGGAAGTGACCCCTCTGTTCAAATCTCAACCGGAAGTGACAACGACAGTACGACGATTGAAGAATTCGTCAAAAAGGAAATCGAACTCGCTGGTGAGTTTAATATTATTGGAGCATTGGAAGCTAACCGCATTCGTTGGACAAGTTATACTGACAGCATTCAAGGCAAAGACGGAGACATAGAGAATAAAGCTCTTAAGTTTCTTAAACGAATGGTTCAACCTGGAGCCCAGCAGCAGACAGACACGATGGAACCTGTCGTCGGTCCCATGAAGATTTTTGAACTGTACATGTTTAGATTAACGAACCAGATCAAGCGTTTTTTCTTACAAAATATGCAGTTTAATATAACGCCAGCTTTGTTTGTCACCGCTGTTGTGTTTGTAGTGGTAAGTGCAGTTCTATACAAACTACTGATGACCAGTGTTTAAGCGGATAAGTCAAGATATCTTCTGCTAACTTCGTCAGACGTTGTCATTTTTTGTATATTACAAGTGAAAAGTAATTAAGCACTATGATATGCTCTTGGCCACATGGTTTATCATTTGTAACAAACAGTTACAATTGTTTGTCAGGTTTCGTGTTACATATAAAGTGTACTGGTATATGACTTCAAAGGAAAAATTGTCACATAGTATTATGTAAATTACTTATAACCTTCTTGTGACTGTAGTTTGTAAAAACAAAGCCTTCATATATTAATCAGACATGATGCACCTGAATCACTTAATACCATCCTTTAATTTTGTTTTCTCTTGGATTAATAATAGCAATAGTAATATGGAACATGTGTTATATCATAAATTGTCTGTTAATGAAGATTTCTTGCGGTTTTGTTCATTGTCCCAGACTGGTCCGTATAGGGAACAGGTAAGCCTGTAATCTAGATTAAAATTGAAAGTATTGTTAACAAAACTGCTGTTAAAGTAATACATAATGTATTGAACTTAATACATTTAAGATATTCTATAATTTCATTTTATTCTTTCTATTTACATACTTAATATATTAATAATAGATGCTTTCGTACGTTAATATCTATGTATATTTTTGTTGAAAATTATAAAGTTTAAACGCTAACTTATTTATATTTAAGTATGTATTATATATCAAAGTATTATCATAATCGTTGCTATAATGATATTTTATATATGTGGCTTTGGATGGGATTAGAACATTATATACATATATATACAATGTTTAAATATAACATTACTGTAAGGTTGTTAAGCCAGCTGTCTGCATGGTATATATGTTACTTATTTTAAAGAAAATTAATACAAAACCAGGCTGAAAATTAATTCATGTACTTTGTCTAGGTATAGCTAATGAAATTCAAATTATTTAATTGTGATATGATATTACAACCATGTTTAAAGCTATTTGTCTCCAGATGAGTCAAACAGTTTCAAGAAAAGCAAGACTAAATATTGAAAAATAGAAAATAAACAAAAGATTCAAGTTTTAAATAATGTTATTAGCGAGTATAAGGGCTGGGATTACAGTTTTTATCAATACTGCATGACTAAAATGATATAATGTCTATATAGGGGGCCTATCTGCCTCGTGTGTCCATTTTTGGTAATTGTGTGGGCTTTCAAGTGCCGTTTGCAATATGTACGTTACTGTTTTGTGCACTTCACAATAACCTACTTTTCAATACATTAAAACTTTCACGAAATTATTATGAATCTGGAGCCATGCCGCTTTAAATAATAAATATGTCTGAATAATAATTTCAATTTGTAATTGCTCAAAAGTAGAATCCATATTGTAACTTTGTATAACAAGTTAACCTACAGTGTTTAAATATATGTTGAAGGCTTGTTGGTATTATCACGTTACCGTGTCATGGTTATCCTTTACAAAATATGCTTTTGAAATTATATAAATGTGGTAAATACCCGTCTAATTTAATGTTAAATTTAGGTCGAGATATGTAAAGCGCTGGGAAGTATGAGGGTGAATATACATAATTAATTGGGCGAATGGGAAGGAGAAATTTGAGTGAAAAGTGCAGTTGCTAACTGTTTTAGGAATTATTAAATACAAACAGAAATAAACGTTACGTTTTTGCATGTTTATGACACAGTTATGTATGTGCACCACATATATTTTAATAATACCTCGAAACAATGGTAGTAGGGTATTTAATAAAAATGTATATACTTAATGTATATGCTTTTTTGACATATTGAATGATAAAAGCATATTAGCCTTAATCAAAGCAGTGATAGTGATTTTCTCATATACAACGTTCTCTACCATAATTCTTGGCTGAAAAATGCAAATATATGTCAGAATGTTAATCAGTGAATTTATATGATGTCTAACAAAGATATTTATAAAAAATGTCAATCTAATATAATAAATAAAGTTGTTTTTAAAATCAAAGAAGAGTTGTACACAGATGAGTATTTCTCTATATGCATTTATTATATGTTTAACAAAGCATTTATTATATGTTTACCAAAGGACCAAAATACTACAAAAAAAGTTTGCAAAAAACCGACAAAGTGCTGTAGGGCTTTTGTTAAAGCGCCTGAGTTGACAAGAAAATTGTATATCAGACAATAATGTGCCACAAAATAATGACAAAGCGTCTCAGAAAGTTTTTGGTCAAAGTCCCTTGACAAATGTAGGAAGGGTTGCGCACTGAAGAAATTGTTCACGCCTGCCTCTGTCTGCTTGTCCGTCCGTCCGCCCGCCGACATACCCCCAATCTAATGACCCGATTTTTCTTTCGGAAAACCTGGTTGAAAATGACTTTTATAATGATATAAAGTAATCAGTTTCAAATTTTGACTACCAAGACCACCACCTTATCAAAGCTATGAAAGAACTTAGCTGTAGCCTCGCGATGTTAAATTTAATTGAGAATGTTATTGTTAGTTTCGATATTTTGTACGAAATTTAATGAGTATCAATTCTAACTCAATAATTCTTTTATGTTGAATAAATTATTCATTAAATAGAGTCTATGAAATTCTAAAAGCAGTGTAAACTGATTTAAATTGAGAAGTTCCGATACACGTTTACGTTTTTATGTCTCCTCAAAAGTTTGGGAGAAATATCAATTTTACCGTCGCCGTTTGTCCGTGCGTTCGCATTCAGATTGTCCGACTTTCGCCGGTCCAACAACTGGCGGGATTTCAATGAAATTCATTAGATTGATCAGTACGATACCTAGTTATGCATAGCCGGCATGTTTCGCTTCGCTGCACAAAATGGAAACCAAAGCTGTAAATACAGAATTCACAGGTCAAACTGCTTGCGGATTTTGAATGAGAGGTAACAGGATTAATCAGCACCACCCTTTTTTGAAGGCATGTTTCGCTGCACAAAATGCCTACTAATTCAGCTTTGCTGCATAAAATGGACACCGGGGCTTAACATTAAAAATCTTGAACGGCTTTCACGAGTTAAAATGCTGGCGGGATTTTGATAAATCTTCACTGATCAGTAACATCCCTTTTTGTGCATATCGTCGACCAAAATGACCACTTTAAATAGACAAAATCTTGTCCAGTTTTCTGAGGTCAAATTGCTCGAACTTCACAAGAGTGATTTTACCATACCTTTTGTTGCATGGTACCTTTTTGCCGGCATGTATCGCTTCGTTGCACAAAATGGCCGTCAGAGCTATAAATAGAAAAATTTTGTCCAGCTTTCACAGGTTTAACTGTTGGTTGAATTTCCGCGATCAGTACCATTCCTATTTGTGCATATCGCCGGCAGGTTTCACTTCGGTCATCGGACAATTTATAGAAAACTATTTGCCGGTTAAACTGCTGGTGCGATTTTAATAAAACGTCACACGAGTGATCAGTGCCATCCTTAGTTGTGCATATCATCGGCACGTTCTGCTTTGCTGCATAAATTGGCCGCCAGAGTTAAAGATAAAAAAAATCTTGTCAGGCTTTGACATCACTTTACAGGAGTGTTCTGTAGTTCTATATCCATAGTTGTGCATATCAATTGCATATCGGGTCCACTCTGCAACAGAAGGCGTTTTATGTTGAAGGTATAGTTTCCTGTTCAAATTGAGATGGCATTATCGCATACCTTAAAGAAAATAAATTTACATAGAAAATATATAGATACGAAAATATATGCCTTTAGCTGAGAGCATAAGCTATGTATTTGATAAATGCATGTATACATATGTATACATGTACACATCACATCAATTACCTCCATATTCATAGTATGTGATGACCGTTTTGAAACATTCAGCGAAGTAGGTGTGAGCATCCTTTATAAGTACGTACGAAATCAACATTAAACACAAAATCATAGAATCATTGGTATTCAACTTTATTGTGAAAATTCGCCACCAATATATATCTTAAGCATATACAAAAAATACGAAGAATTCTCACACAATTTACATTCTATACGATGTTTATTCACCATTGGGAACGGTTCTTTTTGTGCTGATTACAAAGTAAATTTATACTATACAGCACATTATAGATGACAAATGTTGATTAGTTTCTGGTTCATCAACTGAAATTTACTGTGTTACACGTATCTATTATGGAGTATATCTTCTCGAAACCCGACCATATAGTGTGAAATAAATGTACAGACTATGATCTTCAAACGTACTCATGTTATCTTGAAACAAAATTATTAGAATTTGATTTAAGCGACATATTTCCTTCTCATGACATCGAAAATCGTGTCAGCGATTCGATTGGCCTGAATAAAAGAAAAAAATCAGATTACACCTATATGCAAACAGACGGTTTAGTAGACAAATGGAAAAATACCAGTCCTGTGGTCTGTAGAATTCTAAGAAAATTTAATCTTCATTTAGCCCTTCGTGTACATTGAAAGATATAAGTATGTATATGTTTATTCCATATTATTGAATCCTACTTACAAACAGAAATCATTCGAAGCGAACATGTTTTAACGTTATACGCAAATATTTTACACAGCTTGGACAGCAATGAGGATTTCGTACACTCCCAGGATTAAAATACCGATATAAGCCTAGCGATATTATGGGGGGATTCCTACATTCTAAATTAAAAAAAAATATGCATTATTTTGTTATGCTAAAATTTTTCATTGAGGCAAAGCAAAGTGATGATTCAGCATGCAAGAAATATGTCTCTCAAACAAGTGACTTAAATCTCGATATAATTGCAAATTGTTTTTTATTAAGAGTCGAACAACTTTTTATAATAGTGTTGAATGACCATACAGTCGTGAACTCAGTAACATTGTGAAAGGATGTGACACCGTGACCTTTTTAAGAACTAACTTAAATCGTCGTGTTTTATATATATATATGGCATGATAAATGAACGTCTCCAAGGTCACCTCATACAAACCGCCAGACAAAGAATTCATACGATTGTTAAGTTTGTCATAACATATCGTTTTGTGTAAATAAGAAATTCAATGACAGATAATATTTAAGCAGTATTGGCTTATGTTTCGTTTCGGTAAGATGTGTGATATTAGGTTAAATACCTAGGCACTTTAACCATATATAATTACAATGATAGCTCAATTTTTTTTATGAAAATGAAACTTGTATATAAATGTGTTTTTGTTGTTATATACATCAATACTTATTGCTCTCAGATAATCTCTGATACAATGTTATTAAATTAAATCATATATTTAATTAAATCATATAGACGCTTATACATTTACAAGAATTTACTTGTACTTAATAATGTCTGTTTAATTATATACAAATGCACATTTGTCAAATGCAAATCGTTTATATACTCTATATCATATTATATGTGTTGTAATCGCTGTAAAGCGGAAATGAAGAGTACGTATGCACTAAATTGCTACTTTATTAGTAATTAAATCATTTTCTATTACAAGTTTTTGTTGTTTTTTTTTGTTGTTGTTTTAGTTTGTTTGATTTTTACGTCACACCGACACAGTATAGGTCATTTGGCGACGTCCCAGCTTACTCGTGTAGGAAGACCTCGGGTGCCCTTCTGTGGATTATTTCAGGCACGAACGGGCACCTGAGTAGAACCACCGACGCTTCGTACGCTAGCTGGATAGCTTCCTCACTTGAAAGAATCCAAAGTCCATTCAAACCCACAGCGGTGAGGGGCAAGTGGTTTGAATTCATCGACCTTAACCACTCGACCACGGGCACCCCTTCTATTACAAAGCCTTGTATTAAATAAAATATTTGGGAAATTGTTTTGATGTATTTTGAATTATTGTGTGTTATGTTGTATTAGGTATATGTCTTGTAGGGGCGTCCGTGGCCGAGTGGTTAATGTCGCTGACTTCAAATCACTTGCCCCTCACCGCTGTGGGTTCGAATCCCGACAGGGATTTAGGATTCTTTCATGTGAGGAAGCTATCCAGCTAGCTTACGGAACTTCGGTGGTTTCACTCAGGTGCCCATTCGTGCTTGAAATAATGCACGGAAGGGCACCTGAGGTCTTCCGCGAGAACGTCGCGGTATGACCTATACTGTGTCGATGTGACGTAAAACGCAAAACAAAAAAAATATGTCTTGTAAGATACTTCTAATGTAATGTGAAATCTTTTGCTGTTTTATTTTATTACAGGTTTCATTCTTTGTTGAATAAATTTAGATACACATCAGTTTTTATGTTACAAAATGAACCCCGACTACACATGTTTTTAATAAAACAACTTTATTCTTACGCACAAAAAAATATGTTGTTATAAACAAGATGTTTATAGAGGATATTTAAGTTTTTTCTATAAATACAGGATTTATTTTCATCACGTGATATGAAAATAAATATATCGTGAGTGGCGTAGGCACGAGTGATGTCTGATAATATAATAGTACAAATAACTTCCTATGATGTTGCATGAAGGAACCAAATATTATCAAATATTATACTACGAAACAATATTTTTATTAAAATAAATTTCGAAAAATGAAGGGGGCATAATATATACACAAATGGACTGGTGCCAAATAAAAACTCGAAATGTTTTCCATGATGTTTTACCTCTTAACAATACATTGCCAGATTAAAGAGTTATAATCTGAATTTTTTATAGGAAATGAGAGCAAAAATGCCTTAGATGCGTTACAATTAGTGGCCTGAAGCGCACACCGAAATCGACCTTGTTACTTCTAATGTGTTACAATTGCGTATTCGAAGCGAAGACTAAACGTGAGCTTGTTACGCAATGTTTTGTCTATAACTTCTCATTCCTAACTCTTGTAAAAACTAATTTTTTTTTTGTAACAGCGACCTTGAACCTAGGAAGCCCAAAAGCAATTCAAAGCGAGTTGTTCTTAAAGAGCGGATGGACGGACCCTTATTACTCTTTGAAAAAATACAAAGATAAAGAAATTGGCGTGCGGTTAGCTCAATAGGTAGAGAGTTGACAGTGAATCGGGCGACCTGGATTTGATTCCCGGACGATGCAGGACACTTTCATTGTAATTGATTATAAAATCATTTCTACTGTCATTCGCACTGTACATCTGCTCTGGCATGTACTTAAGTTATCAGTTCCTTGCCATAATGAAGGCAATTAGTACTAGTAAACTGCTTAACAGCCTTCCCAGGAACGATGCAGTAGCTAAAATGTGCATCGATAGATTCAATGTAGCTTACTGCCATGATCCGGATGAAAACTACCAACACCACAATCTGCATATACAAAGAAGGAGATATTTATGTAAGGTATAATATAAAAGTTTAGTCACCGACACTGGTCAATTTCGCCCTTCTAAAACGTTATACTCTATTGGATATTTTTAATCATTTATTTATTTGCATTTCAACAATGTTTATCACTTAATCGAAGTAAGTAACATCGTCACGTGGCGGCCCGGTCGAGTGGTTAATTTGTCGGACTAGAAAAGATTGCTCGCCGCGTGAGTACAAACCCTCGTCAGTGTTTTCATGTACGTAATTTCACATGGTAATTAAAGTAAAGTAATTCTACAATCATTGTTTAGTAAGAACAGATCCGAGAATTTTTCAATTATTTTTTATTATCTATTTTAAGTTTTTCGACAATAATTTATGTCCAAATAATAATTGTAAAATATTGTTGTATGAGCGGGTGCACCAGTAAATTATGGCAGTCACTCAATGAATGTTATAACAGAAAAAAATATTTCAAGGACAGTTAACTACGCACTAAAATATGAATTGTAAAAAAAAATACAGAATTGTCAGCGTTTGGGATTTCTATATATATGGATTGAATAATATCAGATTACAATTTTAAGTTTTTGCAAAGACAATACTAACCAAGAGCCACCACCGAGTGGGGGAAACGCTCCACTTTTTTACTTTTTCTAAAAGCAAACAAATTATCGGTTTAAACAAATCTTTAGAAAGAAAATTAATTTTTATTTTAAGGGTCTATCTAGTCCAACCTGTTGCTTTGACCTAGTATGAATCCTTTCCATAAATAAATGAGTTCAGAAAATATAACCAAAATTCAATCATTTAACGGTCAGTCACTTAAAGGATCAAGGTCGAATTTAAATTATTGCACATGTCTGTTTGGTCATATGTGTGGTTTTGTCAAATCGTACATGAAAAACAAAATAATGAATACTTAACCAAAATTCAATACTTGGACATTGACAGTCAAGTTCATTTTATGCCAGTTCAACCGTTCAAAAGGTCTTGTCTTATAGGTTGTTTTGTCCAAGTATAAAAACTATCCATCTTTATCAAGTAACAGCCAATTATAGAAATACTCAATGAAAATTCCTTATTTTGATTATTAAGGTCAAGGTCATACATGAGTAGGTCAATTTGAGTTTTATGTAAATGTAGGTCTTGGTCTAAAGGAAGTTGTGTGATAATATGAAGTTAAGCAAAGTTATAGCCAATGTCTGTTACAATACCTCTTTTTTCCATACAAACAATGTCGAGCTAAAATAGCGCTTACTAATTATTATTATTCAGGCCAATTATTTTGAATTGTCAACGCTGTGACTAACAATTACTACGTATAGGATATCGAACGAGTACGAGGTCTTTCTGTTTAGGAATTCGTGATCAGGTCTTTCCTTAACAGAAAGATCGATGTACGAGGCTGATATCCAACTCACACACCATTAAAACTATATTGGCTTGAGCAATGGCTGATCCAAAGCATTTGATGAAATGTACAAATATTATTTTTAACACTACGCATATACAGATAAGCTTTTTAAACGTTCTGCTTTTATACAATATATATTTTGCATTTAAATTTGCTGTCCCCTTTAAAATCAAAAACAAAAAAGCTTAATGTGCAATTGTCAATTATAAAGTCAATAGATCTGTAAAAGAAGGTGTGTTAAAGAATGAATAATTATGTTGATAGTATTTTGTATCAGACAATGCAGATTCTAGGACATTTCCTCCCGAAAAGTTGCCCCTCGGCCGTTTGCCCACTTTTTTGCCGTTGTGATTTGTCACTTGTCATCTCGTGTATAGATTTTTTTGTATGCTAATGGAAACATTTTAGTTTTATTTAATTATTGATGCTATTTTCACTTTCACAAATTTGTGCGAGATTTTTGTGCATAATGAAAGTTCGACAATAGGCGATGAATTATGGTAGTAACCAATTCATCAATAAAATATGTTTTAAAACAGGGAAGGGGAGGCAAATGATCGCCACTGCAAAACGGGAGCAAACTTCCGAGGGGGACAACTGTCCGAAGGGCAATTTGTGGATACCCAGCAGACCACAAAAGACTTACATAATTATGTATATTGTTGGCAAGTGTGAGATACATGAACCGAAACTACATACTGCTCAAATGTAAATGAAACATGTAGTTTTATTATTCAATTGCTATTTCCTAATTCCTAATGGAGGTAAAATGGTATTATAAATAGGAAATTGTAATATTCGCCTATGAGGAGAATAAACCTATTATGGATTTAATACTGATTTTAAATAACTATTATGTAGAGTTAAAAGAGTTCTTACTTTTAAACTCCTAAATATGAGGTAAGGGTAATAACTTTTACGGTAATCTAACATGAATAATTTCTGTCATTAATTGCATATAAAAGCATATCAACAACATCTTCTGGACTTAAACCTTTCAACACAATTTATTTGGCCTAAATGTTATTTGCAAAAACTAAACAGGTATACACTATTACTTCAGAAATTTAGTTTGAAGCGACACGTGACACCTGCCGTTTGCGTGCAAGCTCAATTGCCTACAAGAAAACGTTTCGTTTTTTTGTTGTTCAAAAGATGAGATGAGATAAGTGTATAAACTGACATCATAATTTAAACGTATAAAGTTTCTTCATTAAAACCATAACTGCTTCAAATAGTGTTAGGGAATTCACAACATTGATACTAAATATTACCACTACAAGATATATTCATGCTTAATCTATAACTTTATCATGGTTAAGATGCAAACAGATGGATTCTGTTCTGCCTTAATCCACTCATTGAATTGTACAGCTTCAATTGACCTAAGTGACGAGTACAGCTTCAATTTGATGTAAGTGGCTAGTGCGGCGTCAATTTGACCTTAGTTTCGAGTACAGCTTCAATTTGATATAAGTGGCTAATACAGCTTCAATTTGACCATAGTGGCGAGTACAGCTTCAATTTGACCCTTTTGGCGAGTACAGCTTCAATTTGATATAAGTGGCTATAACAGCTTCAATTTGACCTTAGTGGCGAGTAAAGATTCAATTTGACCCTAGTGGCGAGTACAGCTACAATTTGATATAGGTGGATAGTACAGCTTCAATTTGATATAAATGGCTAGTACAACATCAATTTGATATAAGTGGCTAGTACAGCTTCAATTTGACCTTAGTGGCGAGTACAGCTTCAATTTGATATAAGTTGCTAGTACAGCTACAATTTTATATAAGTGGCTAGTACAGCTTCAATGTGACCTTAGTGGCGAGTACAGCTCAAATTTGACCATAGTGGCGAGTAAAGCTTCAATTTGATATAAGTGGCTAGTACAGCCTCAATTTGATATACGTGACTAGAACAGCTTCAATTTGACATTAGTGGCGAGTACAGCTTCAATTTGATCTAAATGGCTAGTACAGCTTTAATATGATCTTAGTGGCGAGTACAGCTTCAATTTGATATAAGTGGCTAGTACATATGATTTGACCTAAATAGCGAGTACAGCTTCAATTTCACCAACCTTCCTGGTGAGTACAGCTTCAATTTGAACTAAGTAGCGTGAACAGCTTCAATTTGACCTTAAGGGCGAGTACAGCTTCAATTTTACCCTATTTACGAGTACAGCTTCAATTTGATATAAGTGGCTAGTACAGCTACAATTTGAAATAAGTGGCTAGTACAGCTTCAATGTGACTTTAGTGGCGAGTACAGCTCAAATTTGACCCTATTGGCGAGATAGCTTTAATTTGATATAAGTGGCTAGTACAGCTTCAATTTGATATAAGTGGCTAGTACAGCTTCAATTTGACCATAGTGGCGAGTAATTCTTCAATTTGATATAAGTGGCTAGTACAGCCTCAATTTGATATAAGTGACTAGAACAGCTTCAATTTGACCTTAGTGGCGAGACAGCTTCAATTTGATCTAAATGGATAGTACAGCTTTAATATGACCTTAGCTTCCAGTTGACATAAAGGCGAGTACAGCTTAAATTTGACCTAAGTGGCTAGTACAGCTAAACTTGACCTAAGGAACGAGTGCAGCTTAAATTTGGCCAATGTGGCGAGCACAGCTTCAGTTTAGCCTAAATGGCGAGTACATATTCAGTTTAACATGTATCTTTGACTGTGGTCAAAATACAAGAATCATCAGCAAAATAAAAGTGGTCCAAATATTGACAACTGCTGACACTATATGTTATATTACCTAGATGAGAAAACTGAACTGATAGGTCAACATGTTGGTGTGTGTAATCAGTATCATTCCCATTCATCTTTCTGCATCTTGCCTAAACTCAAGGGCATCGAGATTCATTGATAAATTAAAATAATTAATTAAACAATTAACACTCTCAAAAGCCTTCTGCGGGTCAAGTATCAACATCAAAACATGAAAATTGTTATCATTTTTTTTGTAATTGGTATTCGGCAATCAGGCAATCTACTATTAGTAAGGCTTATTGCTATTAGAGATGTTTTACAGTTGATGAACAAAATCAGACTGTGAATTTTGCTAGTAGATTTTAATACAATTATTATCATTGTTCCCGGTGGATTTGAGACCAATTATACAGATATGGAGGTGAGTGGTGAATGAATTTGGATTATGTGCCATAGATGCTCTGGCTTTTACATCAGACATGTTCAATTTCATGTTTTAAATACATATCCCAAAAATATATCATCATACCATATATAATAATTCAAAATTCCGTCTCATAAAACTGATATAATAATTTGGAATTTATAACAACGTAAAAAAAAGCAAAGCAAAGAAATGAGTATAACACAAAATCTCTTATATTTAATACACTCCAGAAATATGCGTGGGTAAAACTTCATAAAAAGCAAATTATATACAAAGCAACCATACATACATCAACAAGGAAGGATAAGAAGGTACGAAAATAAAAATATATCAGTTGTGGAACAATTATACCCCTTACAGCAGGGGATATATTGTCTCCCAACCTTACACATTTCACATTATCTGTTGATGTATTCTCGCTGTAATATTTTATTTGGCACATTCATAGAAGATTTTACACCTCTATTAAAACAAAGCTGATAATTCTCAAGTTAAATTATTTTTCTTCAAGATGACATATTATCTTAGAACAGCTTTCTGTTCTTCTAGTCTGATCTTATAAAGTTATGAATAGCAATAAATCATCATAAATTCATATAAAGGGATTCTGTTTTACGGCCAAAGTTAAGTGGTCATGTTGACTTTTGACCCTGTACCCTCTTAATGTGGGTCTAATGGATAGAGAATATCAATCTGCAGTCATCTGTGAAATTGGAAGGCTTTGATTAAAGGACTTCTCTTTTATTGCCCTATTTGATATATTGAGGTCGCACTGAACTTGACCTATTTCTTGTGACCTCTAAATTGGTCTGGCAGTTAGAGATGATGAGGGTGCTAATAGGTATGCAAAGTTACAACACTGGATTGAAGAACATTTTCCATGAATAAGATGAATAAGATTAAAGTGGGGTCATGGTGCTATTGGTTAACAAATAAAAACGTGTACAATCATAAACTAAACTAAGTATAAAATATTAAACTGGGAACAAATTTAAGCACTTCAAAATGTATATCTTGGAGAAAAAAGTCTATTTTAATATGCATTACTAAGCAAGTCTTTTTTTAAGTTAGAGGCAAAAACTATTTTAGACTTTGTTAGAAGATGACTATAAGTATATTATTATGTCACATTGAATAGACATACATTTGCCTGGTAATATTATCATGAAGTCACATAACCAAGTCTTCAAAAATAATTAACACTCCAACACTAATCAAATCACTTCATGCATTTAGCAATGTCATCGTGTAAAACCCTCTTCTGTACTTCTGTAAGCTTGTCATATGTGCTTATAAATCGTCTGTTATCACGAAGACCCATCAACTCTGGTTGCTTAGCAACACAATAAATATTAGGATTATACAGTTCGTCTCCAAGACTCCTGGATCCAGGATCACGTGTATACAAGATAACCATATCAGCTGTAAAAAACAAACAAAATAAAAAATAGTAATTGACAAAAATGTAAAGGCAATATTGATCACAGGGTAGTCACTTGTTTTCAATGTGATATTTAAAAATCAGCTAAATTTGTTATACATACAACATGCCTGTTATATAATACATTAAGATGGCATCAAACCTTCAATGTGACATCACCTTCAAAATTGACCTCTTGGAAAAAAAGTGCAGAAATGTAAGAACCCATGAAATAAGTGTTCTTTATGACTAAACAAGAATTTTCAGGCCCAGAATATTTAGTGAAATCTCAGTGTATTAAAATAAACTTTAACACCTTTTTCGGGGTTATCTGCCCTTGCCTCCAGTACTAAGCTTAGTCAGTAAATAAATTTACACTTCCATGCACTCTATGTATTAACTATACAGCTGGATTTTAAACTTTAAATTTTGCAGCCTGATATCCCTGAAAATTATAATAGGGTGGTTCCAAAAATAGAAACATGGCAAGTCTAATTCAGACATTCAGCATATTAAGGGGTAAAAGTTCAACAAGAAATACCTCTGTATCTCTTAATAACTTCATAAGTACACCTCTTCAAATCACCTAGACCCAATCCTGGTTCTTCTAAAATAACATGTCTTAAATAAAAAGAGAAAAATAAATAACTTTTCAAATAAAGGTACAAAGGGAATGTTTGTTTTCCTTACAGTTAACACGCATAATATGATTTTATTCAACTCGTTCAATAAATTTAGTATTAAACCTAAACTCATTCAATATCCTCTATATATTAAGGAAGAAACAAATAAATTTACTTGAGGTACAAATCAACTAATTAAAGATATAAATTCACTAATTAGACATATAAAATCAATAATTAGAGATATAAATTCACTAATAAGAGATATACCTTTCTGAGAATTCTGTACACATAATGTAGAATTTACATTTAGGCAATTTTTGCAAGTGTTCATGTCGACGTACAACAAAGTATTTCATTTGAATATCCTGCATTGTACCTAACGCAGACTTGACCAGGGTGTCATGTTCTGTCTGTCGTGCTTCATCAAAACTTACAATGCAGACAAAATCAGATAAAGCTACTCGACGCGGAATTCTTTCTAATACATCTCTAGCAGTCTGTAAAGAAAAACTTATAATATTAACTACAAAAATAACTGTTTGTATTTTGGTTGGGTATTCCATAACACTTGATACTATTAAGGTCTTGTGGCAAATTTCTTTCAATTGCTTCACTGTTGGAGGAAGACCTCAGGTGCCCTGCCATGTATTATTTCAGGAACAAGACTGTCTGTAAGCTATCTACACATTTTCAATACATGAAGTAATCTAAAGTCTCTGATATGATAATAAACCATAGCAGTGTTAGAATTGAAGTCAGCGACCATAACCACTCAGCCAAAGGTGTCCCTAGTTTATGAAATACATGTAAGTCTTAGTGTTATATTAATTGGACACTTTGTATCAATTCTGTGCACTTTTGGCATATATTAAACAACAAACAAATCAAGATGAAGAGAAATTATAAAGTTATAGATCTTAAAGTTTGTTGCTTCAATAAGCAAGTTGAGCAGTATCATAGTGGTTAAAGGTTTGAGTCTCACAACTCGGTGATAGTTGGTTCAAGCCTTACTCTGGTCACAACAATGGTCCCTTAAATGACACCAGTACTGGTTAGTTCGAGATGCTTAAAATTCAAATAAAATGCAAAACCTTCTTAGATAAATATATTAAATGAGCCGAGTCACGATAAAACCAACATAGTGGGTTTGCGACTAGCATGAATCCAGACCAGCCTGCGCATCCGCACAGTCTAATCAGGATCCATGCTGTTTGCTATCAGTTTTTCTACTTGTAACATGGTTTGTAAGCGAACAGCATGGATCCTGATCAGACTGCGCGGAGGCAACTAGAAGAAACTAGGATACCACATTACCATGTCTTGGGATCCATCAGAAGAATCTGAATAAGTTGAGCGTCCACATTGTACAAGATATATCCATAATGCCAGAATAAACTCAAACAGGACCACAATAATAAATGCCATGGTTAAACTCTCTAAAAAAATAATGTATTCTTTGTATTAGTTTCTCCAAAAATAATAAATTTCCTTACAAAAAATCCATTTTAAAAACGCAGAATCATAAACATTTTACTAAGTATTGAAAGTGTGTATGGAAACCTTTACTTATTTTATTACAGGCACTTTTTATTACAGGCACATTTAAACTCACAAATGATTTTTTTCTTTGTGCGGAAAGATTAAACATGTGTTTCATAATGCTTTAAATGAAATTAGATCATGCTTATAACCTGACGATAATATTACTGAATGTGAAATGATTTGACTAAAGTAGACAAATGTAAAGAAAGTGGTATTTTGACTTACATACAAAATACTAAATCAGTATAACTTAATTATTGTTAAAACACAAAAACGAAGCAAAAAATGGCCAGTGAGTAACCTTATGGAAAATAACAGCATGACTAAAAGCTTTTGAAAAGTAAAATGCTAAGCATTTTTTAGGCTAAATGGGCCTTTTAAGATTCTTCTACCTTTGGAACTTTTGTACTGTCATCAGAAATATTAAGTCATGGTGAAAAATGTTATTGAAAAATATGAAATAGTGGATTATCTTTAATGTAATATGGTACTAAAATAGACATTCAAATACAAAATTCAGATACAAGATTTTTATGAGTTGCATAACTACATGGGCTATTACACATTTTAATGAATAGCGTAGCTGCAAGTGGTATAATATGCAAAATTTTAATGAGTGGCATAGCCACAAGTAGTATCTATGACATATATATTTTTGCAAGGCAAGGTCAAATATGGAATAAGATACAACATTTTCATGGGTGGCATAGCTACAAGTGGTATAATGCAATATTTTTATGAATGGATTATCTACAAATGGAATAAGATGCAATTTTTAATGAGTTGCATAACCAAAACTTGCATAAAATAAAATATATTGACACAGCTACAAGTGGTCTCAGAAGAAACAATACCTTGTAGAGCATAGCCACAAGTGGTATCAGATGCAATACTTTCATGAGTGGCATATCCACAAGTGGTATAAGAAGCAGCTGCATAGCCAAGTAGCAGTATAGCCACACGGGTATTATTTGATGAAATATATTCTCGAGTGGCACTATACAAGTGGTATTTAGTGATGCAACAATTTCATGAAGGTTATTGCCACAAATGGTATTTAAGGCATTTTTCATGAGTGTCATTGCCATGAGTGGTATTAAAGGCATTTTTGCATGATTGTCATTGCCACAAGTGATTAAAGATGCAACCTTTTTATGAGTGGCGTGTTCAAGTGACATAATAAGCACAATTGTCATTAGTTGCATATTAAGCCAATTAGTGGCATAGCCATAAGCGGTATAAGATGAAATATATTCATGAGTGACATAGTTTCAATTAAGTGGTATTTAGATGCAATACTTTCATGAGTAGCACTGCCACAGATGGTATTAGATACAACAATGTCACAAGTGGTTTTGACAGAAGTTGAATTATAGCAACTGGTGTTTACAAAAGAACCATTATGTCATCTAAATTATGCAACAACTAACAGATAACCTTTTATTTTATTCTATTTAATTGTTTTGGTTCATTTAAAACTGATTTCTGTCACATGCTGTCAAGCCCTTTCCTACAAGATGTCAGTTTGTCATGACATCATAATGTCTACAAAATGTCTTGAATTTTCAATTCAGTTTTGCATTTATTATCTACATGCAGTACATTGTGTGTATCAGTTATTTGAATATGAAGCAGTTTTTTTTATAATTTTTGTTCAGCTAAATTTATTAATACCCATATAATATTTGATTGGGTTTTACCACACACAGACACATGATAGGAATAGGTCATATGGCGACGTTCCAGCTTTATAGGTGGAAGAAGACCTCAGGTGCCCTAAAATCTCAGGTGCCCTAAATTCTGTGCATCATTTCAGGCACAAACAGGCATCTGAGTAGAACCATCAACGTTCCGCTTGATAGTTTTCTCACATGAAAGAATCAAAAGTCCTTGTCAGGAATCGAACCCAAAGTGGTGAGGGGCAATTGGTTTACCAATATAATTATAACTGATAAAACAAGAGCCCAGTTTGAACTTGCTGACGCTCCCCGAATAGGTTTTGTGCACAGGAAAGTTCACCTCTTCAGTTATGTCCCTGGAAAAAGTTCAATAATTCCAAAATAAGGCAAGGCACAGTTACGGTTCTTTGCACTGCACTCCAAATCGATGCAATCCAGCAACCTACAAAGTATATTGTTGATACCTCTTATGGTTTCCGAGTTATGTCCCGAACAAAGTTCAAAATGTAAAACGGAACAAAAGGCAATAACTACAAAATTTGGCAAGGCAGAGTTCATGTTTGTGTGCATTGCACATCTACTCACTGAGATCTATCTACCTACAAAGTTTCATGTTGATAACTCTTATAGTTTTAGAGTTATTTCCCGGACAATTTTTTTTTAAAAAGGGGAGATAATTCAAAAATGAGTTATGGTTCTTTTCATACTGCACTTTTGGACATTGATATATATCTACCAACAAAGTTTCATGTTGATATCTCTTATAATCTTAGAATTATGTGCCGGACAAGGTTCAAAAATCAAAAATAAACAAAGGGCAATAACTCCAAAACTAGGCAAGGCAGAGTTACGATTCTTGAGCACTGCATATCTATACCTTGAGATCAATCTACCTACAAAGTTTCATGTAGATACCTTTTTATAGTTTTACAGCTAAGTCCTGGACAAGATTTTTCTAAAAGGGGAGATAATTAAAAAATGAGGCTTAGCAGAGTTATGGTTCTTTTACACTACATTTCTACTCAATGAGATCTATCTACCTACAATGTTCATGTTGATATCTCTTATAATCTTAGAGTTATGTCCCGGACAAGATTTTTCTGAAAGGGGAGATTATTCAAAATGGGGCAAAATAGAGTTATGGTTCTTTAACACTGCACTCCCCCTCAACGCCCTCTACCACTGTTTAAAGTTAAAACAAATTATCTCCAAGGGTTTTCAAGGAATGCTCCGGACAAGACAACAAGGTGGTGACTATATGCTCTCCCTTCGAGGAGCATAATAATAAAGGTTGATTGAAATAAATTCTTAAACATATTTTGAGATACCTACCCTATCTCCAGACATATCAAAGCATGAAAATGACTTATGAAATCTTAGAGGGTTAGCAACAGAAATGACTTCAGGGCTGGCAAAATCTGATTTGATTTGTCTGAAATATTTTTAACTTGCCTGTATGATATATATACATGAAGTAAAACTCTTGAAACTGTCCAGAGGTCCGTACAGACTGTGGGACAACCTGGATGAAACAGACTGACCTTTATAACATGCTACATGTACGCACTATCTGCTTCCTTTCTAATACTATAACATATTAACATGCAAGAACTGAAAGTAATGCTACTTTAGGGGCTCTTATTTCACTCTATTTTATATTGTTAGTTAATGTCTTTATTATTTTAATATTAATCTTGATATACCTAAAACTGATAATGTACAGTTCTACAATTAGATGCTTGACAGGACCATTTGCAGGTAAAGGGGTTAAAATTGAAATACTATAAAGCAAATATTTTAAAATTTCAAGCAAGGTATGCAAAGCAAGATAAACAATAGCCATGTCAACATGGCCATCCCCCCCCCGCCGAATGGTTGCTCATTGGAAGTATGTAGTACAGCAGAATAACTCAATTTTAAGAGGTCTTTTGGTAATGAAAACTAATGATTGAAGTGATTACAGATTTGAAACCTATGTGAATACTGATGGCTGAAAATAACAAAGGGTAATAACTGAAAAATAATGCAGGGTAGGTTATCATTCTTGTGTGCTGCAACCCTCCTCAGTAAAATCTATCCACCTATGAAGTTTCAAGTTGATACCTCAAATACTTTTTGAGATAAGCTCCGGACAAAATGGTATGAAAAAGAACAAAGGGCAGTAACTCAAAAATTATATAGGGAAGAGTTATCATTCTTGCGCACAGCATTCCTCCTCAATAAGATCTATCCACCTATGACATTTCATGTTGACATCTCAAACACTTTTGAGTTATTCTCCACTCAGGCGAAAAACTAAGTAAGAAAAATAACAAAGGGCAATAACTCAAAAATTGTTAAAGGTGAGTGAGATCTATGCATCTATGAAGTTTCGTGTTGATATCTCAAAAGCTTTTTGAGTTATGCTCTGGACAAAAATTAATTTTGAAAAATAACAAAGGGCAATACATCAAAAATTATGCAGAGTTATCATTCTTGTGCACTGCACTCCTCCTCAATAAGGTCTATTTACATATGAAATTTCAAGTTGATACCTCAAATACTTTTTGAGATATGCTACGGACAATAATGTCGGACAGAAGGACGGACGGACGAACGGAAGGTCGGAAGGACGGACGGAGACTTTTATTTATCCCCGCCGCCTTTTCGGCGGGGGATAATTAACTACCTCATGATTTATGCATAAATTATACAATATTCAAATGAAATTAATACCTTTATTGAAAGTATTTGGCTTGATAGTGTCAACATCCTTCTTGACAGCTGATAAAATTTCATCCAAATCACTCTTTGCTTGTTTAAACTCCTCAAGTTTTTGGTCAAAATCTTTAGAGAAATCCTTTACTTGCTCTTTTATTCTAGAACTTTTGTCTTCAAATGTTTTAGTCATCTCATGCATTTTACGTTCAGTTTTGATTTCAAATGTTTGCAAGGATGTTTCATAGTTTGAAAATGTTTGTTCATAGTTTGAAAATGTTTGTTCATATTTTGAAAATGTTTGTCCAAACTCTTCATTAAACTTGAGTATGGCAGATATCTTATTATTTAAAGTGGATTCCAAATTCATAATGGTTTCCTCTATTTCCTTATATCTATCTTCTAAAGTATCTCTTGCTTCTTCGAGAACATTCAATATTTCCTTTGCAGAACTGACATCACTTGCCGCAGAATTTACTTTTTTGGTTAACTCTTTTAGTTTTGTTTCATCTTTTTTTGTCATTTCATTCTTGAATTTCTCCACCATATCATGGAAAATGCCTTTATCATTTATTTGTTGCTTTTTTAATGTTGACAAAGCCATATCAAAATCTGCAAGTCTTCCTTCCATGTTTCTTATTCCATCAGGCTGAATGTCTGTTTTACCGAAATTCCCAAAGAGTAAATATTGCACTCCAAATGCGAACAAAATCCACACTATGATTAAGCCATGTCTCCAAACCAATGACCTAAATGAACATGAATATACAAAATGAAAATAATAAAGGAACTCCTCAGAGGTTTATAATTGTTTTGTCGTTTAGGGCACACGCTTTTTATTACTTGGGGACCATACGCCGCTTTTCATGGAATGGCACGGAAGTGTCACATTGAAGGTTCCATGATAACCGCCGTATGATCTGCGGATGTTTCTAAATTCAAAATTTTACTATTTCATGTTAAAATGTTGAATTCTGCTTAAGCCGGTGCTAGGGGGCGTGGACGGTAACTTGCACTTTCCAGTACCGTCCATGAACAGGCTCAATCAAACCGAGACTGCAACATTTTCAATTTTGCCGTGTTGGGCTTTCTTTAGGGATTCTTTATTTATCTATTTTATAAGCCTAATAACATAAAAATTTAATTTTTCAAATAGAAAACATTAGCGCTTAAAATAGAAATACAAATATTATATAATCAAGAAATATACAAGACATACATTGAAAATCATATGTGTGTGCTATGCTCAGTCCGATTTGAGTGAAAAGCGTAAAAATATGCTTTTCAATTATGGGACATTTTTCACTATTATAATGATTATTCTTGAAAAATGGAGCGAGCTAATGATCTGATATTTTGCACATAAGTTGTTTGTATAGATCTACATCATTGGGAGTAATAATCTAAAAATAATATTTCCAGTCCTGTCATGTCAAAAAACCTTAGTAGAGTTCCTTTACAGAAATTCGTATTTGATTATTTCATATTTACCCACTTTCATTTCCTTCCCCAGAAAGGAAACATTTTCTTAAAACTTTTCAGTACCTCCAAGTCAAATATCTGTTACATGTACAAAATAAATAAATATTGAAAACTTACTCTTTCCAATTTGTTGGCAGCTCTAAAATAAAAAAAAATTAAAATATTGTAAATACATTAATCTTGTATTTTAAAAGCTGCATGTTTCCAGATGAGCCAAAATATATTCTTTCAACCTTATGAAAATGTACTTAAATTTTAAGAAAGTAAAAACATTTACAATTCAAATAATAAATTACTTGCAATTGTTACATGCAATTAATGATTGATTTTGCAATATTTATCACAAAATATATTGCACAACTATCCAAGGAAGGGTTAGGGTCTAAACACTAGCTTTTTGGGTTTTTTCAAAGAAGATTTTTTAAGTTTTTGCTAAACACATAAATAAAACCAATGACCCCCCGGGCGGGGTCAATTTTGACCCAAGGACTTTTTTTTACAAACTTTGTAGACACCCATTAGGAGATGTTTCATGATAAACATCTAAGGTCTAACAATTTTGACCCAAGGGCTTTTATCTAAACAAACTTTGTAGACACTCACTAGAAAATGTTTCATGCTTAGTATCTAAACTTTAGCTATTTGGGTTTTTGCAAAGAAGATTTTTTTTCAAAGTTTTTTAAATACACATATAAGGAAAGATTAATGACGCCCGGGGCAAGGCCAAATTTGACCCCAGGGCTTTTATTTGAACGAGTGTTGTAGACACCCATTAGAACATCGTTCATGCTAATTATCTAAGCTCTAGCTCTTTTGGTTCTTTAAAAGGTGACTTTATAAGTTTTTACTATATGCATATAGGGAAAATCAATGACCCCCTGGGGCGGGGACAAATTTGACCCCAGGGCTTTTATTTAAACAAACTTGATAGACACTCATTAGAAGATGTTTCATGCTAAATATCTTTGCTCTAGCTCTTTGGGTTCTTTAAAAGAATATTTTATAAGTTTTAACTATATGCATATAGGGAAAATCAATGACCCCCAGGGCTGGGCCAATTTTGACCCCAGGGCTTTAATTTGAACAAACTTGATAGACACTCATTAGAAGATGTTTCATGCTTAATATCTTAGCTCTACCTCTTTGGGTTCTTTAATAGAAGACTTTTTAAGTTTTTACTATATGCATATAGGGAAAATCAATGACCCCCTGGGCGGGGCCAATTTTGACCCCATGGCTTTAATTTGAACAAACTTGGTAGACACTCATTAGAAGATGTTTCATGCGTAATATCTTAGCTCTAACTCTTTTGGTTCTTTAAAAGAAGATTTATTAAGTTTTTACTATATGCATATATGGAAAAACAATGACCCCCTGTAGCGGGGCCAATTTTGACCCAATGGCTTTTATTTGAACAAACTTGATAGACACTCACTAGAATATATTTTATGCCAAATATCTAAGCTCTACCTCTTTGGGTTTTTTAAAAGAGGATATTTTAAGTTTTTTTCTATTGGTTGCCATGGCAACCAGAGTTCTGCATGGAATTAAATTCTTTGAACAAATTTTAAAGATGACCACCAAAGGAACATTCCTGTGAAGTTTGGATGATATTGGCTCAACGGTTTATGAGGAGATGTCATTTAAAGTAAAAGTTTACGGACGTTGGACACAATTTTGTGACTCCAAAAATATTATTCCGAGTCAAAGACCAATACTAATGTCATACTTAAAAGAACTGAACTGTACAATCAAATCAAATTTAAAAATAATTTAATAAATCACATAATCAGAAAATCATATGATATTAAACAAGCTGCCAGGACAGTGATTTCTCTAACTGTGTATAAGTGTCAGAAATGATATGTAGGAAAGGGTATTTATTTAATGAGGAAACAAAGAAGCTAAATAATGTTTCTTGAACAGAAAATTTGATCTGATTCATTTAAGTTAAACACTTCAGATCTGATTCATTTCAGTGAAACACTTTAAAGATCACTTGGATACTTTTGCCAGATTAAATCCTATACAGTACATAGAAATGGCTGTTATTTACATTTATCTATTAAATATAGATAACTACATGTATATTGAATACTATTCTAACCAATTGATTTAATAACAATGTGCCCTTGTTCTAATTGAAGTCAAACTGGAGATGATATATCTCATACTCATCAACCAAATTAACAAATGACCATATTCTTACTAGAATCAATATCTCACTCTAACTAATCTAATAATACTAATAAGTGTCCTTATTCTAACTAGAATTGATATATCACTTTGACCAATCAAATAAAACAAGTGTTCTTATTCTAACTAGAATTGATATCTCACTTTGACCAATCAAATAATGCAAGTGTCCTTATTATAACTAGAATTTATATCTCACTTTCACCAATCAAATAATGAAAGTGTCCTTATTCTTACTAGAATTGATATCTCACTCTGACCAATCAAATAATAAATGTGTCCTTATCTTAAATAGAATTAATATCTCACTCTGACAAATCAAATAATGCAAGTGTAACCAGTTCGTGTTTTTGATCTTTTCGTTTATTTTAAACTTTTCACATTTCAGTTTTACAGAGTTGTCTATAATCTCCCTTTCATTGTAAATTTGAGTGATTAGTCAAGCATTTGAATTCCCGCTGTTTTTGAACCAATTATTGTGGTAATGTGATATAGTGTTCACTCTTGCACAAGTCTTGGTACTGAGAAGTCAAATGTGAACTAGCTTTGCTGAACTTTATATTAATTTAATTATAACTATTTTGGTGTTTCTTAAAAATTGAAGGTTGAGGTTGGTTGATCTTATTTATTACTATTGATTCATCTTTTTTTGAGTCACAAATGAGCAATTCTTTATTTGTATTAATTTAGTATTTGTGTAAACATGTATATTGGACATGTACATTGTAATCAAGATGGCAGCTTATATTTCTAATAATTTGGTAATTGGTACATCACTATTTACTATCTTGTATTATCACTTGTCATTTAACCATTTACAGTTAATAGAGCACAGTAAGAGTCAGTGAGAGAAACAGAGGTGTATATCCTATACAGTATATGAAACCTGATCCACAATTGGTATGTAAATATATGTATTCTTTGTTTAATTTCATTTAAGGTTTAAATATGTTCATTAATTATTTTAAGTAAGGACTAGGCTGGCTGACTTGACCACAGTGTGAATTTATAACATGATATAACCATAATTAATATATTAAACTCCTATATCATGTATACATCAATAAATGTATTATGCTTTTGTTATTTACTAATATGTTGTATTTGTTAATTTACAGGGTTTGAAATATATATATAGTATACTCGGTCACAGCCTTTTGTTGTATTGGACCCTTATACTGACTGCTGGCTGGGGCCAGTGTGGTTGGCCATTACTTTTAAGTACGTATATGGGCTGGAGCTCACCTGGTCACAGATGGCGCCCAACGGGGGACGAGATATGTTACATATGGAACCGACGGAACTTCAGACTAGAGGAACGATCATGGACATTGTGTTTTGAGATTATGTATTGTACAGAGACAGTGAGTGGTCAAGTAGCCTATTTTGTACATATGTAAAATTTGTGAGTATTGTATATTTTGTGAAAAGTTTCATTTCTGCACCTATATTTATTTTTGACTAAATCTACTCAAATAACAAATTTATTTTTTTTGTATTTTTCCTTTTGGCTATCTATCTTTTTATGTAATTGTTTAGTTATGTAAATTTTGTTTACATAGATGCAGATTTGAACTTTTGAGTGAGCTATTGTAAATTGACTGAGAGTAAATCACTATGCATGCAATAATTAATACTAGATCCCTGCAAATCCTGGTTTAGGTCATATACTTCACTAAATGTCTTTACCTTAACTTGAGCAACTATATCTCATACTAATTATACATAAGCCACTATCTTGATTACATGTCAAATTTTAGTCTGGTGTAAAATTCTTGATGTTTACCTCATTGCTCAGGTGTGACCCAAAAACATTTGATCAGTATGTCAAAATAGCCATTTTATTTATGAAAAGAAACACAAATGTCCGCCATTTTGTATTATTTATTGTTTTGACGTGACGTCACAATTGTGGCGTTCTATCCGGTTCGCGCGTTGTGTATTTATATGAAATGAAATTGGAAATAAAAAAAAGAAGAAAAAAAATTTGATTTCGAAAGAAGCTTTATACATATTGTCGGAAAGCTTAATTTTCAGCAAGTCTCCTTGTTGGTGAGCAGGTCCAGTGAGGGAACCAAATAAAGCAGCAAGTTAAGAAAACGGTCGGCTTTCTAGTGAAGAGTTGAGCCTTAGCAACGGTCCGCTTCCCAGTAAAGAAGCAAGTCTAAGAACGGTCCGCTCCCCAGTAAAGAAGCAAGTCTAAGAACGGTCCGCTTCCCAGTAAAGAAGCAAGTCTAAGAACGGTCCGCTTCCCAGAAAAGAAGCAAGTCCAAGGAGCGCAGCAAGTCTAAGAAGCGCAGCAAGGCCAAGGAACGCAGCAAGTCCAAGGAGCGCAGCAAGTCTTAGAAGCGCAGCAAGTCCAAGGATCGCAGCAAGTCTAAGAAGCGCACTTTCATTTTGAGAATTTTCCATCTGTTTAATTGTATTTATGTTAATTTCTCCTTGATTATTTAAGTTTACTCAATTATCAGGTGATACATATCATTTCTAGCAGTTGGCATCCATTGTGTATGTAAACAATCCTTGTTTTCCTTTTTGTGTACTCGGTGACCTGATATTGTTTACTACACATTCCTTTCTATATTGGGAAATCCCCTTGTCCGGCATATGCAAATTAAGAGCACCTGTTGAATTTTCATTGGTCGATTTTGAAGGTGTGTCTGTGTTGACTCTTTTGATTGGATAACACATTGAAATGACATAGACATGTACAGTTGACCTTGACTGTAAAAGCACATGGTTCCTGTTTGTTGACAGGTATTGAGAATTGCAATTTAAGTGAAGTTTGGTATTAATTAAGACTTTAGGAGTATTTGTAGGTATTTAGTGATAGAAGATAAGCACATTTATACCTAAATAAACATATTGTAAAGCATAAGTGCATTTAATTTAAGATTTTGTATCAATTATAAAATTATTTGAAACTTAATGTTTTGAAGCACAAATATTAGTGTCTGATAGAAATGAAAATGACTTAAATGACATTTTCTGTTCTGGCAGATAATAAACATTAGCAAACTTAATATATTTAATA